CAAACTCGATTGCACATGAGGTGTTATAACTATTATACAGTCTAAAATTAACAATCAAAGACTTTCAGATAAACTTTAAGAAGACTTCGCACCGATGAAAACTGACAGCTTAAGAAGTTGGGTGAAAATGAAAATGAAGTGGGGAATGTTCAGTTCAAGACCATAATGGCTTAAATAGTCTTTCCAATAAGAGAAGAAGAAATCCAGAAACCTCCGTTCAAACAATACTCCATCTTAAGCTTTAGCTGAAAATAATCCATTACAAATAGTACCGAAAAAATTGTTCAACCTGATTCTCTACGGTAGCTCGATCTAATATCGTTTGCAATTTCAGAAGTTTGGATGCAGAACCTTTCTTTTGTAGTCATTTTTCTGATAGCACAACGTCAAACATGGGAAACAAAAGAGGACTCATTACAGCTCTGCACAAAACCTCGTGTTTGGATACTACTTAGTTTGAACTCAATATACTGATTTCAATGCAGAATTCTCAGTCACTTGGGGATGGTTGTTTTATGAACCCCATTCTTTTGATCTTCGTCAGTAGGACAGAGTTGTGCATTACACCGAATGCTTTGGCAAAGTTCAGGAATCGTGAATGAACAGGCTTCTTCTAATTTACTTCACAAAGCCATATTTATCCCTATGAAAGTGGTTGTGGACGTTAATACATTACTTTTTTCAGTCCGGTAAAATTTCTAATGCTTTCTGAGCCCGATGCAGGAAAATGTGGTGTCCTCACCTATCGTTTACTAGTTCTAGAGAAGGTTGGACACTCGCAGAAGCCTATTGAAAAAGATCAATAAACAGGATCACCCTTTTGTTCACAGCCCACAGATCACATCCATGCACAAATATGTGAACTGTATTGACCTCACATGTCAAAGCAATTTACTCAAATCCTTTACACAAGTTTGCTTTTTACATATCTTCACTCAATAATCGTAATGATTCTGTCGTATTTTTTCAATAATGTCGAGTACAACTGACGTTTCAATTCGTTACATTACTACACCTTTGTATATATTTAAATTTCCAGACTGTTCTAGATTTGTTATATAGTTATCTACTTTCGGTATGGTCAAACAAATAGCCCAGGCAAAATGGTTGGTACGATCTTCGTTCTATACACTTATTTCGTTAGTTTACTATGCTAAGAGTTCAAATGTAAACATTCAATATATTTTTCCGGAAACATTATTTATTAATGAAACTTGGTTATACGTTGTATACCTTGTAGTCAAGAAAGACGGAATATTGACGTATATAGTGTCATGAACTGTGACTTAGTGTATTAGAAACATTTTCGAGCAAAATATATCGCAATGTACATTCAAAAATCAGTATTTTAAGGATAATTGCCAAAGTGAATAACTTTTATGTTGTTAAATAATATGGTTTTCGTGAACTAATACCAATCGCCATTGCTAATTTAGAACAAGATCTTTAGTGTCTGTTATTATGTTAAGCACATATACCTTATTCTAGCTTTCGGACATCTCAATCTATTCATTCTACTTGAGTCATATTTTGACCTTGTTAATTATTCGCTTATCAATCTTACCTGTTTTTATATGAGCGCGTAGTTGTATGTTCACTTCTTATCCTATTCATCACATGTCTGTAACTTGGTTTTGTGTGTCTATAAATATTGATTAACGCTTAGAAAAATGGGGAGTTGGCTTACCAGCCAACTTCACCACGCGTCATTCTTTGCTTCACTTTCTTCTTTTTGCGTCGTTCCCCCGTTCGTCTGTCAAATCAACAATTGTACAAAATATATGCATTCAAAAATCCATCCTCGTTATTTGACTTATTTAATTCCGTTATTAACTAACGTGATTCAAGTCTATGATTATATAGGAGGATAGGCGATAGCAAACATTCATACAATCAATTTGGAGTCAGATCACGGGCCACAATAGATCCCCATTTATCCATTTGCATTTTCAATACATCGATAAAACCCACACTAACGCCTGTGGGAGCAAGCAACTAAATTTCGGGTAAAACAATGTATATTCACCGGATTTCCCACAGCTAACATTGTAATCTTAGTAAACTGAACTGTCGTTCTACGGTATTACAAGTTATTAGTCGATGTCAATCATCATAAACTTGCTGATCTTAATGGTCCAGCAATGTTATCTATATCTTTGTGTGCAGCATTCTACCTATGGACGCCTAATCGTATCAAGTTTTGTGCGCTTAGAATAAAAGTAAATAAATCAACAGAACAATATCTGACGCAAGTCCTGCGGAATTGATATTCGGGACTCAAAACAGCATTGACAGATACAGAAACTAATTAAAGTGATTATATAATCGATAAAGAGTAACATACAATCCAGGAGATTTGAAATTTGATGTGGTACAGTACAATGTAGCCAGAAAGAAAATGTTGTTTTCGTATCCTAGACATCTTAATTTTATAGACCTTGCTCATATCAAAGACGAATTTGAGAAATGATCGAATATGTTGTGCATATACCCCGAAGCTCACTAATGGCCTGAAAAAGTTAGATATGAATTAAAAATTACAAGCGCTATTTTCAGAACCAACCAAGCGCCTTTGGGATACGTGGCAGATGCTCCTTACGTCGCTACCAAAATAATGCTGTGATAACGAGAAAACAGGAACTGGTAGTCACGCTGCTTCTTTCCTTAAAAGAATGGATCTAGTGCAAACACGCTGTAGTGCCTTGAAGGGATATCTATTATTCGTTTGCCTGTCTTTTTGGAGTTTACGTTATATGTCAGCCTGTAATTTCATGGCATCGTTTACTAACCATAAGCTTCTGATCAAAGCTTTGGTGTTTTACTTGAATCTTCCCATTGATGTTTAGGACTGCAGTTGATCAGTCTCTTATTGGTGTATGCACATACTGTGAGTATTGCCCCGATATTGCCTTTATTTACAAACATTATAAGTAAAGATGGATAGTGGCTAGCAGTGGAATCCAGGATGTGCGTCTCGTCCTATTTGGAACTCGTCAGCCGGACGTACCCGCATCTCAGAGTTGATGTTCACTCTGAGACTCGAAACCAGTACCGTTCACTTCGAACGTGGGTAGCTAACAGGACTCAGTAGCTAAGTGGATAACGCGATGGCGTTTGAAGCGAATGGTACTGAATTCGAGTCTCATAGTGAACATGAATTCTGAGATGCAGGTACATTCAGTTGACGAGTTCCAAATAGGACGAAACGCGCGTCCTGAATTCCACTGATGGCCACTATCCATCTTTGCTTATAATTTTCCTCTTATATTTTAAATTCCATATAGTATGACATATTGATAACTGCTTGTAAATACATTGCTACACACACATACAAATATATATATATATATGATTTCTATAGATGTTGAGTAAAGTTTTGATTGAGTTGACACGTCGAATTTTTCCATCGCTCATTTAAACATTTGTCTGAGCTAACGACTGCTTGAAACAAATTCGTCTAATTTAATAAGTAGTTGGTATTTGATTATCGCACAAATGTAATTAATTTTAATAGAATGTACTAGATGAAACAAATAATTTATGCTTGAGATTTATTCATCGCTTTTTTTCCTAATAGAATCAGATGGTGGGCACAAAATTGTGCACTACAAATCATTATGACAACAAAATTCATGGAAGCAAATTTAAATGTAAAAAGAAAGCCAATGGATTTCTAGTCTTAGTAAGCTGTTTTGTTTACTGTTCATTGATCAATGAGCAGTGATCAATGTGCTTTATGTTAAGTTTTTTAGTGTCAACCGAATCCTGTTGATCAGTTTGCAATATATCCACTAGTCTAAGTAACTTGAAATCGCTTTCAATATATCGGGATGAAAGGTGTTGCTTGGAGGTAATCGACAAGAAATCTTGGACGTAAGTTCCATGCTATTTGGCGCTCGTTATCAAGATGAATCTATAATCTTCAGAGGACTAATAAAATTCAGTTAGCAGAGGGAAGAACCTAACATACATGACACTGATCACCACTGAGTGGTCAGAGTGGCCGTTTCGTTCTATTGTGGGACTCCTCAACAGGGCGTATCCACGAACCCAGGGCCTTCAGTCTCGCGTACGAAAGCCTAACCTACTAGACCACTGAGCCGGCATCCAACGGTGTTTTCGATGATGGTCTAACATCAATTAGTTCATGATCTCAATCAAAAACTTAACGATCTCCACAACCCCTAAACTGATGACTATTCATTCTACTTGAGTCACATTCTGACCTTGTTAATCATTCGCTTATCAATCTTGACTGATTTTATATGAGCGCATGTGTGTACACTTCGCATCCAATTGCTCATCACATGTTTGTAACCTATTTTTGTGTAACTATAAATATTGATTAATGCTTGATTAAAGAGGAGTTGGCTTGCCCACCATCTTCACTGCGTGTTGTTTCGCTTCTCTCTATTCCATTTGCTTCACATACAAAATGTATGTATTCAAACGTCCATTCTCGTTATTTGACTTATTTAGTTTCGTTATTGACTAATGCGATTTAAGTCGATGATTACAAACGAGGATAGGCGATAACAAACATTCATGCGATCCACTTGGAGTCAGATATCGGGTCACTAAATTGGAGAGCCCTTTCAAGCAACATCGTCCGATCTAAATGACGACAAAATAAAGGGTCCCACAAAAAAATATGCATATATTTCCATGCACACAATACAATAAATCTCTGTTTTCTAATTCTGTGTATGTGAAGCTTGGATAATGACTTAGTTGGAATGTATACCATAGCATAATTACATTTATTTTAAAACACCTTTGTTTACAGCGTTCGGAATAAATGGAATTTTGCTAAAACTGTATACAAATCAATGATTTGAAAATCAAAGTCATTTTAAGGAAATTAAAATAGGCAAATTCGATTCAATATTGTATTACAGAACATGATTTGCATTGAAAATACTTGTGAAAAGTCTTTTAAGCTTGATTATAAATTTGATGTTAGCATTTTTGATTATATAACTAACTGATTTGTAGTTCTGTTATTGATTAACTGATTGTTGATGTGAACACCGTAGTTTATGAATTGATGCCAATTTTTTCTTTGCATGAACTGATTTTTCTACTCCATTTTTTGATTTATGATCTAACGTCCTTTTATACATGTAACTCCTTCGACAATTCACCTAATTGAAAAAAAAATTTACTTAATAAATCACTTTGAAACTGAATCTAATGCAGAATACCACCAAAGTCTTTTCTTATATAGTTCATTTATCAATTACCTCGATAATCGTCATTACTTCAATTTTCCGAACGCAATACTAAGTTCTTGTAACAGTCTAAAAACAATGGTTCATCTGGAGTTACCTGAAAAGGAAATTGAATTGAAGGTGGTCTTAATGACTTGAGAGTTTGACTGCAGTGCTCAAAGGACAATTGCTTTAGGTCAATCACACACGACCTTTTTGTGAGTAATTTTCGTGTTAACTCCGTACTTGTTGAAACCTTACCGTCGGATAAGGTAAGGTGTCCATTTTTAGGGTCAATCTTTTCTAGCCCCAGAATCTCTGTTATGCTGGTTGTCTAATCGAAACACATTTATGTATAATGAGCAGTACAATTTCATCCTCAAACCTTAGATTTGCTGCTTTTAATCTAACCATTCTTCAACTGACCTATCTGGCATAGTAGAACCTTGAGGAACAATTGTTCCAACCAGTATAGCTTGATTGATTCATCATTATAGGTAAGTCCATCCATCACAGTCGAGATGATAAATATATAAATAAAAATTTAAAAAAATAAACAAATAAATAAACAAATTATTTACTTGAAATATTGATGCAACTCTATTAGCTGTATTCATTAAATAATTAATATAATTTTTTGATAAACATAATTTGGTCATTTGTCCTTTATTATTAATAGTTTTATTCATTGAATTTATTAAATTATTATTGGTTAATAATGATGAATTATTATAATAATCATAATAATAATATTCATTATCATTACTATTATTATTATTAATACTACTATTATTACTATTACTATCATTATTATTATTGTTATTATTATTATTACTATTATTATTATTATTATTATTATTATTATTATTATTATTGATTATTGAATATTTATATAATTTATTTAATTCAATTAAATTTAATAAAAATTGTGATAATACAATTGATTTACCACCTAAACGTTTTTCTTCTAATTTTTTTAATTCATTTAATTTACATATTTTATTTCTTAATGTTGATCTTGGTATCCCATATAAATTAGCTGCTTTACGTGTACCTAATTTACCAAAACAAATAGCTTTTACTGCTTCGGATAATTCATTTTGTGTATATGAATGTTTTATTGATTTATTTAAATATAATTCATTAGTTGCTGAGGGATTATTATTATTGTTATTATTATTATTGTTATTATTATTATTAATTTTTTTAATTTTGCATGGTGATAATAATTTATTTGTTATATTCAATGAATAATTTTTTATTATGGGTAATGATTTTTCTGATATAAAACTATTTGAATGAATAGAATATTCATTTGATAATATTGTAGAAGTTTCATTCGGATATTTAATTGGCGTTCTTAATACATTTGCTTGATATAAATGAGCATCGTTTTCTAATTGTTTACCATACGATAGATGTGTAGAATAATTACAATCAATTTCTGATAATTCACTTGGTGTTTTATTAGATTGAGTTAGACGTTCATCTGGTATCTCCTGTTGTGTTTGTTGTTCTTCTTGTTGTTGTTGACTGTAAGAATGAAATTGTAAACAGAAAAATGGGATGAAATCATTTAAAGTTATTTAAAATGATATAAAATAATTGAATAATAAGAAAATGATTAAATTAAAATCATATATATTTAGTAAACTAGCACTGTTATACATTTTGTGGAGATAATAATGACAAATGTATTTTGTAATTAGGTTTTGATACTATTTGTTATATCTTAGTGAAGATTACATTACGAGTAACTTCTGAAACCAATTAACGGACTAATATTATCTGTATATTCTTATGGTATAACTATTCAGTAATTAAATTATGTATATCTATATTCCTTTTATTATAAGCTTGATTTTGACCTTCTCGATGGGTGTACAATATCGCGAAACCTAACTTCCATGTTTCTTGTCGGCAACCCCCAACTACCACTTTGAACTGTTTCATGTTCGATTTCATACAAAGTTTATAAGAAACAATGATTGATATTAGTAAACACTAGTTGGATAGTGAATGTTATAATACATCAGTAAAGCGGTTTACTCTTTCTTTGAAAAAATCTGATTTATTCAAGAATGTTCCATGTTAACTTGTTTATTGAATTAAATATTTTTTCCATTACTAATAACATAAACGGTACAAACAAATGAAAGATTTCATAAATTGATTTAGGAAATATGTATTCTATCATTAGTTGAGCAACTGGACTCGTTGTTTATCCTTTTAGAAGAAAGAAAATCTAGTTTATTTCAGTGAATTTAGAATGAGTTATTTTAGAATTGCAGGAAATCTTCCAGATAGATAGAAAGATATCTTATTTGTATATCGATACAACAATGTATCGGATCAATCTTATTAGAAACAGTTAAAGTTCCATAAAGTTAGTTCATATTAAAAACAATATTAATGTGTATAAACATGTGATGTTTAACTTTCAAAACCCTTTTTCTAAACATGTTAAAACAAATTTCAAGGTATATCTACTAAGTCTATAAGTTATTTCAATATAAAATTGAAATATTGTCATCGAATGTGATATTAAGTTTCTTTCCATATTTTATATTCCAGGCGGCATGTTTGAATATATGAGCTGCTTGATCCTGTCATCTAAATATTTCAATAAGTTATCTGTTTTCTTGTTTGTTTCAACACATTATTATGTCTATTAATCGCATAACCTATTTAAGTGCGTTTGTGAAAAGTTTACGACACTTCAATTTACAAGATATAGAAGAGCCCAATCAGAGACATCGTGGTTGCTGGCAATTTATTATTATTTAGATTATTATTATTATTTAGATGTCGATTCCTGAACTGCTATCATATAACTGGTGATCCACTTAATATTTATTAGCAGGATTGATCAAGAAATAAGAAAAGGAAACTTGTTGAAATAGTTTGTACAGAGAATTCTATATTGTATCAACTACATAATATTGAATAAAGCCATTAATAATAATAAGTACCTTTACCATTATTAAAGTACAAAATTTCAGTATCATAGTTACAACATTGATCGTCTATAGTGTTGTATTGTTTCTATCATTGATTATTTAACTAAATATAGTACTGTTGAACGTTTTAACCGGTGTATTCTATCTACAAATTACCTAGTTGTTATTTTATATTAAGGTTAACCATTCATTCACGAGACCGAAGGCTCTGGGTTCAAATCCTGTCGGTGGGATCGCGGATGCGCACTGCTGAGGAGTCCCACAATAGGACAAAGAGGCCATCCAGTGCTTCCAGGTTTTCCATGGTGACCTAATATCAATCGGTCCATGATCTCAGTCAAAACGTTTTTCTAAGAACTTTAGTTTATAATTTATGACATAACTGTTGATGTAATCTGAAGTTCAAGAATAAGAGATGAGACTATAGTTTATGGATGATCTATGAGCGAAGCTAAATTAACCTTGGGAATATTCACCTACTTACTAGGGCTAAATGATCGTGACAAAGCAGTATGAAGAAGAACGATTATTATTTATAGTTGATGGTTAGGGTTATAAATTAAATTTATGGTTTTCATCACAAAGTAACATCAGTTAAGATGCCAAGACGCTATTTAGACAATTGGGTGAATGAATTTCGCGCCAAAATTCAAGACCTATCATTCTAAATCTGATTGATTCATCCATAGATTATAGTCTCACCGTTTTGTACAAAATCTCTTGTGAACGGATCGTACGTAAGCATGAAGCACTGAAGTTGGCACCGTGACCTTGAAATCTCTCACACGCTTCTGATTGGCTCATCCATAAATTAGAGTCTCTCCCATTCCGCTTGTTTAAATATGGTCTCATTCCATATACTTTCTATATTTAAAAAAACTTATCTAATTAAAGAAATACAATTTTAACAAAATAAAATAAACTGACCATATTGATTTATTGAGAATTAAATCTGTCTTTAATGATAAATCTAATGGTTCTTCATTTGTTTCAATCATCTTCAACATTATATTTTGAATATATTGTTCATAATAGAATTGATACCATTGATATAAATTTGATAAATTATATCTCATATTTAAATATTGTAGTTGATTGAATGTAGATAAGAAGTATTCGAGGAAATTCATTTTTGTAAATGAACAATTACAATCTATGATGTAATTTGATGTATTAATAATAGGAAAATATTTTTGAACTTCTATAAATTGATTCTTTTCCAAAGGATTAGGGTTATATAAAAAAGATGGATTATAAGTTATCATATTACAATTGAATGAATGATTCCATCTATCTATTAATTGGGAAAACAAAATTAAAATAAATTTTTATGTTAGGTGTTTAAAACATTCTATTGGCATTTAAGACAGTCTCTTATTTAGTAGTTGAATTTATGAGTCAGTTAAAGATACACCATCATGGAAAATCTGAAAGTACTGGTTGGCTGTTTTGTACTAGTATGGGATTCCTCAGCAGCGCGCATCCACAATCATATGCTCACTAGTGATGGTCTCCAAGAGATAATTCCTAGAGTTCTAGTGAGGAGCATGGACCAGTGCAGTTCAACAATGTCTGTTGTGAGATAGTTACTCACTGAAGACAGTGATGGACGATCGCGGAATTTCGTGGATTGGTTGAATTTAGACATTAAAGCTGTTGGATGCTGTCCCGCTCAGTGGTCTAGTTGGTTAAAGGCCTGGCGCGAGACTGATAGGTCCTGGGTTCGAATCTCGCGAGGAGTGGGATCGTGGATGCGCACTGCTGAGGAGTCCCATACTAGGACGAAACGGCTGTCCAGTGCTTCCAGGTTTCCCATGGTGGTCTAGCTTCAATTGACTCATGAGTTCAACCAGTGAAATAAAGAGAATTACCCAAAACTTTTTATTCATAACTCACCATTTTTATTTTCCCAAATCTTTAATTCAGAAATGTTTGATGTAGGAGTACTAAATGCTGAACTATTGAATTCACTTGATTGTACTGAATTTTGTAGTAACTCATATTGATATTTATAATCAAAATCTTTATGACTATTCATGTTATTATTTTGTTCAATAGATGAATTCATTAATTGAGACAAATAACTAACATTTAAAGATGATAGATTAGCTGATAATGTTGAACCTATAAAATAGAAACATGATGTACAGTCTTACTATTTTACTGATGAAATTTAACTTGGCTAATCAAGTGATGTAATAAAAAGACGAAGATTATTAGAATTTCTTTTTGTTACACTATCTAAGGGACTAATTACTTTAAATTGTCTAATTTAAGTAGTAGAATTTCAAACTTTATAGAATATGTTAAAGAGTAAAAGTCACTTAGATGGAAATCCACTATTATTTAATGAAGACTAATCAGTATTTTAATCTTTAACGTATAGATTAATTATTAGCATTTAATAGATGAATTCATAAGTTGATGTAAGCTAGACCATCATGGAAGACCTGGAAGTACTGGGCGGCCGTTTCATTCTAGTGTGAGACTACTCAGTAGTTTGCACTAACTGTTTTGCCCGTGGGATTCGAACCCAGGGCCTGTCAGTTTCGCGCTCGAACGCTTAACTTCTAGACTACTGAGTTGTCATCCAACAGTGTTAATGTCTACTTACGCAACCATCCACCATTGTATTTAGTAACTACCTCACAACAGACATGGTTGAACTCCACTGATCACGTTTTCTCTCTAGAACTCCATGAAATACACCTTTAAGCTAGTTATTAGTGAGCAGTGAGACCGAAGATCCTGGGTTCGAATCCAACGATCGAGATCGTGGATGCTCACTACTGAGGAGTCCCATACTAGGACGAAACATCCGTTCAATACTTCCAGGTTTTTCATGGTAGTCTAGCTTTAATTGACTTATCACTTCAACTATTAAATTACTAAAATCTCCACAATACCCACCTTTCTGATAATTATTATAAGTTTGTAATTGTTTTGTTAAACTTCAACATAAGCTACCTATTTGTTCTAAAATCAAAACAAGTTAAAATGTCCCATATGTGCCAGTGAATAAAAATAACAAGAAATCAGAGAAGAAATTTTTCTTTTCGACGAGATCCTTTACTTAAACTCTATATTCGTACTTGTAGTTGTATGGTAAATACTTCGTTCTATAGAAGGATAGGAAAGATTACATTATAAAGTGATTTAACAACTTTTCATGATTATTATTATGACCTTGAAGTTTTTCGTTCTTTTTTTTCATATCTTCAAAGTTGAATTCATGGGTTGATCTAAGCTAGACTATTATTGCAAATCTGGAAACACTGGATGGCCGTCTCGACACTTGTTACATTTGCCAAAGGTATAACCATTTCGTGTTTTTGTTTTTGTTCAACAAATTAGTACGTTCTATTAAAATTGTTTTATCATCATATAGCATTTCAATTCTCAATTACAGAATGAATTAGTAAGGGTTAAAAACTTTCGTTTAGGATTGACAGTGGTCAATTTCTATCAAGATATGTGAATCCTGGACAGTTGCTAACTGAGGTTGATAATGTGCAGTCCTAAATATCAACAATATAAGTCACAAACTCCTGTCATAAGCTTCCTATTCGTTGAACAATCAAGTAACTACCTGAACTAGTTAACGCAATGAAGAATGTATTGAACAAATTTGTTAGATACAAGTTTCAGTAATAACATCTCAACATTAGGATACAAAAGATACATCCAACTAACAATTTCCAAATAGAACAAAGTATATAACATGAATGCCATTACTAGTCTCATATGGAATATACAAAATTAATTAACATTTTATCACTTCAAATTAAAACAATTTTACTTCATAATGTTTCATATCAATGTAAATAATTGATATTTTCTACCAAATAAATTATTCTATATAATCTCTATGGCTATTTCATTGTATTCATCAGTATTCATTAGGTGTTCAGTAATAGATGTTCTTTAAACATTATTATTACTAATACCAACCACTGAGTTTTGTATAAGGTATATATATATATATATATATATATATATATATATATATATATACATTTGTTTTATTAACATGGAATCAACTGTTTTCATAATAATAATAATAATAATAATAATAATAATAATAATAATAATAATAATAATAAGTATTGGTCTAATATAGATTACATAGACTATAAGAATCCCGGTTACATAGATACAATTTAGAAAAAAAAATGTTTTCATAAATGTAAATTTAATTATTACCAAAGATGAATAACTAGTTTTACCAGTAGTCTTTTAAATTGAATTAAATTTTTGTAGCTTTATATTTACTACTCAATAAATAATAATAATATTAGTAGTGGTTGTTATGTTTGGTCGTCGCTGATTGTTGTGCCGGAAAAACGATGATCATTTATACTCGAAACGAGGGACCTTTCAAATTCTCACGACGCGAAAGTAAGAACACAAAGACTGGTAATAAGTGAAGATTTATTAGCCCCAAAACAGTATGGCGACGACGACTACGATGATGATGATCTAGTAGAAAATTCACTTTATCTATATATTGATTGTACACCCATTTTGATTAATAATTAGAATAAAATCACATATATAACAAATCACATACTGAGTATAGTTCGTGTCAATTGAATACAAGAATATTGTGGTGGTCGGCGTTCGATATATTCGTTAAACTCTGTATACAGTTCGTTTCCGGTTACTTACTTACGCCTGTTACTCCTCGTGAAGGAGCATAGGCCTCTCACCAGCATTCTCCATCCAACCCTGTCCTGGGAAATCCTTTCAAGCTCTTTCCAGTTCTGATTCATCTTTTTCATATCTGCTTCTATTTCCCGACGTAATGTGTTCTTTGGATTTCCTCTTTTCCGCTTCCCTTCAGGATTCCAAGTTAGCGCTTGTCTCGTAATGCAGTTCGATGATTTCCTCAATGTATGTCCTATCCATTTCCATCGTCTTTTCCTAATTTCCTCTTCAGCTGGAAGCTGGTTGGTTCTCTCCCACAAAAGGCTGTTGCTGATGGTATCGGGCCAATGCATGTTGAGTATCTTGCGTAGGCAACTATTTATAAATACTTTTACTTTCTTGATGATGGTTGTAGTAGTTCTCTAAGTTTCAGCTCCGCACAGTAGAACTGCCTTGACGTTCGTATTGAAGATTCTGACTTTGATATTGGTTGAAAGTTGTTTTGAGTTCCATATGTTCTTTAATTAAAGGAATGCTGTCCTTGCTTTGCCAATCCTCGCCTTTACGTCTGCATCTGAACCTCCTTGTTTATCGACGATGCTTTCCAGGTATGTGAAGGATTCTACATCTTTCAGAGTTTCACCATCATGAGTGATTGAATTACTGTTCTCCGTGTTGAATTTGAGGACATTGGTTTTTGCTTGCGTGTGTTGAGGTTTACTGATGAAGAGACTGCTGCTTCACTGGCTGTCTTTATCAGCATTTGTTCGTGTGTATGCTATAAGAGAGCTAGGTGATCTGCGAAGTCCAATTCGTCTAATTGGTTCTGAGCTGTCCATCGTATGCCGTAGTTTCCCTCAGATGTCGAGGTCTTCATAATCCAGCCGACCACCAGAAGAAACAGGAAGGGAGAGAGTAGACAGCCTTGTCTTACTCCGGTCTTTACGTGGAATGCGTCTGTCAGCTGTCCTCCATGCACTACTTTGCACTGTAGTCCATCGTATGAGTTCCGGATAATGTTGACAATCTTCTCAGGAACTCCGTAGTGTCGAAGAATTTTCCATAACGTTCTCCTATCTACACTGTCAAATGCCTTCTCATAATCAATGAAGTTGATGTAGAGTGACGAGTTCCACTCAATTGATTGTTCGACGATGATCCGTAGTGTCACAATCTGGTCTGTGCACGATCGGTCCTTACGGAATCCAGGTTGTTGATCTCGAAGTTGAGCGTCAACTGCGTCTTTCATCCTGTTCAGTAACACTTTGTTGAAGACTTTACCCGGTATTGACAGTAGTGTAATGCCTCTGTAGTTTTCACACTTGCTCAGATTTCCTTTCTTTGGAATCTTGATGAGGTGTCCTTCTTTCCAATCCATCGGCACTTGTTCCTCCTCCCAAATCTTCTTGAATAGATAATGAAGCATGCTTGTAGTTACTTCGATGTCTGACTTCAACGCTTCAGCTGGTATATTGTTAGGTCCTGCTGCTTTCCCGCTCTTGATTTGTCTGACGGCCATTCTGATTTCTTCGGTCGTTGGTGGATTGACATCTATAGGAAGATCTGTGTGTGCTGCTTCGATGTCCGGTGGATTCATTGGAGCCGGCCTGTTCAGGAGTTCCTCGAAGTACTCTGCCCATCTGTTGCGCTGTTGTTGAATCTCAGTGATTGGTCTTCCTTCTTTGTCTTTGACTGGTCTCTCTGGTTTACTGTATTTCCCTGCAAGCTTCTTCGTCGTATCGTAAAGCTGTCTCATATTTCCTTCTCTTGCAGCTTTTTCCGCCGTCGTTGCTAGTTCTTCCACGTATTTTTGCTTATCAGCTCTAATGCTCTTCTTCACTTTCTTGTTTGCTTCTATGTACTCAGCTTGTGCTTGGACTTTCTCTGCTCTTGTTCGACTATTGTTAATTGCTGTCTTCTTGTTCTTCCTTTCTTTGATCCGGTCCAGTGTTTCTATAGAAATCCATTCCTTGTGATGATGCTTCTTGGGGCCCAGAACCTCTTGACACGTTGAGGTTAATGCTTCTTTGATACCTTTCCAGTTGTTCTCTATAGTAGCTTGTTCTTCCTTCAGTAGATCCTGTAGGGCTTGGAACCTGTTGTTGAGAGCTATCTTGAATTCTTTGAGTTTGTCAGTATCTCGAAGGAAGGCTGTATTGAACCTTTGTGGTGCTGTTTGTCCAGTTGTCCAGTTCTTCTTTAGCTTCAGTTTTAAATTGACCACAACCAGGTGATGATCTGAAGCTATGTCCGCTCCTCTCCTGATTCTCACATCTTCCATTGTCCTTCGGAACTTTTTATTGATGCAAATGTGATCTATCTGGTTCTCTGTGGTGTGGTCCGGTGAGATCCACGTAGCTTTGTGTATACGTTTGTGTGGAAATGTTGTACCGCCTATGACCAATTTATTGAATGCACACAGATTTGCAAATCTTTCCCCGTTTTCGTTTCTCTCTCCCAGTCCATGTAGTCCCATG